GTCGTTAAGTCCAGCTCACACTCAGGAGATGGGAAATAGGTCCACCCTCTTAAAAGCAGGAGTATTTGAAAACTTATGAACATATTTTAAAACCACCACAGGGGTAATGAGAGCGCATGAGCCACCTAGCTGCTGTCACTGTCAGGTGATACCTGAGAAGGTACAGGAATGGCCCTCAGAAGGGGGATATAAGCCAGGCATGTTTAAGGGAGAGAAGCAGGAATTGCAGCAAATTGGGGTATCAGCTGGCAGGGTGACTGTGAGATGTAGGGGTGCCTAGGGCAGGTCCCTGGGAAATGGTCCTGAGAGGAGATGATGTGTTTTAAGCTGAGGGATTTGAGAGGGGATGGTGGGTTTTCTGCCCTAGGCAGGTGCCATTGTTTTGCTGAGTCCCAGCTAACTGGAGCTGTCTTGTCTACTTCAGGCTGGGGTTGGGGCAGGGGGTGGGGAAGGTTTACTCCAGCCATCCCACTAGCTCAGGGACTTGTCCCCTTCCTCATCAGGCTGAAGTGGATGGCTGTTGGCACCTGGCCAGGCATGGGATGGGCCATCTTAAGACCTTGGGAGCCAGATGTTGTTTGCTGCTGATGCCATGGTAACCTGCCTTAGTGCCCTGAGCGTCTCCCCAGTTCCTAAGTGGGAACTGCATGGCCTTGGCACATAGACCTGGACTTACCTGCTTGGAGGTAGGCTCCCGTCTTCACCTGGAGCCGGTCAGTTCAGGGCTTGTTGGATTTGTTAGCATTGCCTTACAGAATAGGTCTGATGTGAATAAGTATGGGGACCATAGGATGGAATATTTGAAACTGGGCCATCTTGGAAAATCTCAGACATCCCTCATCCTGTTACTGGTAAGCCAATCCCCACAAGGGGTCTAAGGCTGGCTGGGCAGCAGGCTATGGTGGGGTGGTTGAGACTCAAGTGAAACTCCCCCCAGGATTCATATTGTGGCATCTCCGGAACGTCCTGACTTCCTGTCACCTGATTTGGGGCTGAATGTGGACCCTGGCCAGTGTTGGGCTGCTCACTGTGGCATTTTGGAAACGTTGCCCAGGAACCTGGCTTGTGGGAATCTGCAGGCTGCCTTTCTGGCGAGTCTCTCACTTTGCCCTGCACTGGGGAATAATGTCACGTGGCCTCTGGATTAATGAACCCCAGCTGAAGCCAGCCTGCCGAAGTCCTAACCTGAGCCCCTGTCTGCTAAGCCCTGCAGGGATGACCTTTCTTCTTGCCCCTCTGATGTTTTCTGCTCATAAAAAACCAAACACTGTCCATTTACACACACACACACACACACACACACACACACACACACACACACACACACACACACAAAAATACAAAGCTAGAGAAACTTTTTTCCTGATTATTTTTCCTGTTCCAGACAGGGACATTGATATATTTGAATCATGGTCTGACAGTAATTAAAAAGCACATAACTAGTCATGTTAAAATGCAGTTGTTTTACTTAATTGATTTTGCCACCAGACCCACAGGGAAAAAAGAAAAGAACGGAGGAAAGAAAGCCTTAGAAAGGGAGACAGTTTTCTGTGAGTGACTGGAGGCAGCCGAGGCCCTGCTTGAATCTAATTGCTGCCCATACTGCAGTTTGTTTCTGCTAATGGTTTTCTGCTGAAAGGGCTGGGGGACCAGGCCTGATTGCAGGGGGGTGGTGTTTGTTTCAGCTGCACTGGCGGTATAATTCTGCTTTCGGGATAGGGTCTGTTTTTCCTTACTATCTATCAGCTTAAAGTACTTCCACTGAACACTTTGAATCAAGGTTCCATTTAGAGATACTTTATTCATATTTAATTACAGGCTGCAGCACCAATCTTTAATTACCTTTTTTATAAGCCAGCTAGGAACATCCACTAGCAATCAATTAGTGTGTGTGTGTTTGTGTGTGTGTGTGTGTGTGTGTAAGCACAGGAGAATGTGGGCGGGGGACTTGCTTCCTGATAGAGAGGGAAGGGGTGGCTGCAGGGGCACTGGGAGGTGGTGGGCGGGACAGGGTGGGGTGGGGTATCTGCCTGACAGGTTCCCTGTGTAGAGTGAGTGGTGCAGCCTCATTTTTCATGCCTCTCTTTGCTTCTACTGGTCAAATTGGGAGTTTGGTCAAATCCTAATAGCTGGGCCTTACGCAGGGAGCTGAGTTGGCAGCTGGGTTGGGTGGTGTCTCAGATCCCCTCCATCCCCTTGGTGGGAGCAGGGAATTGTGAGAGGCCCTCTTCCTGTCCTCCGGGGACATGGTGGACCGGGCCTCCTCTTACCCTGGAGGTTGGGATATGCTTGCCTCAGCCCTTTCTATTCTCTTCCTCCCCCTGGAGTGCTCTTGGCAGCTGCTCTTGCCACACAGCCCTAGTGATGCCATGTCACTCTTGGGTTGCAATGACTCTGCAATGTCCCTGCAATGACACTGGTTTGAAGAGTGGTTGTCCTTCTCAGAGAATGAGCAAATATTTCCAGGGAGCCAGGCAGAGGCTTGGGGTAGAAAGTGAGATCAGATGACCCCCAAGTCCCTTTGCAGCAGGGAGATCGGGCCATTCTAACAGCCTGGGAGGTGAGGGTCTGAGTTCACAGCTGTGCTCCTGAAAGTGCCCTCCTTGCTGCTCTGTCAGGGGGTTTCCAAAGGCGCGTGGTGTTGGTCTCATTATGTGATGGCCGGGAACGTGGCAGAAGCGCTACTTCCCTTCTCTGTCTGGATCCCTGTCCCAGCAAAAGGGTGGAGAGACGATGGGACTCATACTTACTGAGCCTCTTGGGGGTGCTGGGCACCATGCCCATGTTACTTTGGTTTATCCCAGCTGGGCTGAGAACGTGCTGTATCAGTCAGAGCCCCTTCAGTTGTGTGTGACAGAAAACAACTCAAACTGACTTAAGCAGAAAAGAAATTATAGAGTGGGCATTCAGGCATGGCTAGATCAAGGGGCTCAACCATCGTGATTAGGATTCAATCTCACTGTCTCTTGGCGTTGCTTTCCTCTTTGTTGTCACTACGTGACCCCTGGCATCTCTAGGCATCAAGTTCAATTTTAGCAGGAAGAAAGAATCCCTTCTCCTACAGTTCAAACAAAAGTAAAACAATTGAGTTTGATTGGACCAGTTGGGTTACCTTTCTATCTTGGAACCAATCAGTGTGGCCCAGAGCATTCAGGCTTTTGATTGGCCAGGACTGGGTCTCACACCCACCCTGGAGTAACAGGTAAATCCCACAGACGACATGTGCTTTTGCTTTTGAGGCCCTTGGATTAGTAGAAGTGTGGGAGCAGGAAATTCCAGCCATTTCAAAGGGAAGAAAGAGTTCATTCAAGTCTTGAATGGAGAGAACAGTGAATTCAGTCCTTCAACAAATGTGTGTTCGTCACTGACTAGTTCTAGCTCTGCTCTAGCAAACAAGCTTGGCAAAAGTCCCTACCTACTGGGAGCTGATATCCTAGTGAGGTTATAGGGATGGTGGTCCTTGCATTCTCCCAATCCAAGCCCAGGGATAAAGGGTTCTTGTGTAGAGAGACCTAGGGTGAGTCAGGGTGGGCAATGTGGGAAGAATATGGCCCTCAGGAAGCCTAGAGCTCACAAAGGAAGGAAGAAGACAACTGCATGGCTGGGGAAGAGGCGGGCAGTAGGCACTGGGAGGGGTGCAGATAAAGACCCAGTGAGGAGAAGGGGGACAGGGAAGCCAGTCTGTACCCACCTCCTGTGACAGAGAAGTGGAGGCCCCTCCCATGTTGCCTGGACATTTGGCCTCTGCAGGATGCTGAAAAAACGGGATGGAGTTTAGTGAAGCTACAAAAATGATGACAGGGCTGGAGGGAGTGATTTATGAGACAAGATTAGCAAAGTGATGGTGCGACGTAGCAAACGGGGGGGGGATGGTGGCTGTGGGTCATGTGACTCCTGAAGTCCAAGGAGAGGAGAGGGGCTGAGGGGCTGGGTGGCTGCTGCAGAAGGGGACAAAGGGAGGTGGGGGCCATGGACTGAACAGGCCTCAGCCTGCGAGCCTTGGGGGATGTGAGAAGGAGGGGAGGTGTGTGCTTAACCACGTACACATTTGTGTAGGTATGTGTGTGAATGTCTGGACTTTCCAGAAATGTGAGGGTGACCAGGGACTTCAAGGAATGGAGGGAATGAGAATTTAAGCTCTGGCCAATCTTGCAAAAGGCTTTTGGGGGGCTTCCTTTCCATCTGGCAGAATATTTATATCTGGATCATGTAGGTGTGACCACTCAAGTCAGAAAGAATTTTTTCTTCAGGAAAATCGGTATGACATTTCTAAGAGGGAAGAAGGGAAGGGAAGAGAATATGGAAAAATAAGGGTATACTTTCCATTTCATAGAGCGAGAAAGCGAGGCGCAGAAAGGTCAGGTGATCTGCCCAAGGCTCCCTTTGGTTAGTTAGCATTGCAGGTGAGGAACAAATGCAAGGTTCGGGCCTACAGCCCTGGGAACTCTGCCAGGTGTCTGGGCTGAGTGTGGGCCCAGGGACCCACATTGAGGCTGCTGCTCAGGCAGGAACAAGAGGTAGTTGTCGGGTTTGCAGCCTCCAGCCAGGGCCCTTTCAGCAGTCCAGGTTGGTAGGGTTGGAAATCTCCCATTTGATCCCTCGCTTGGCATGGCTTGGTCTCAGGATTTGTTAACTTGGATTGTATTTATATGTGAGAGCCTTGGGGGTACAATGGTGGATAATTAAATGGGCAGCTGGTGCACAGTTCTGAACATTCTAGACAGCACTTCCTTGGCCTTAAATGGAGGTGCTCAGGGCACCTATGCCCATGTAGGAGGACACATCATCCACGCGTGTTTTTTGCCTCACTCCCTCCACATGCCTGGTCTGAGTCTCCGTGGCAGCAACGGTCCCGGGCAAGGTGCTGGGCTGGCATACATGCAGCTGATAGACAATCTGTCGTGGGGGCATCGGGCAGCACTGGCTCTGGCCCGTCGTCCTGGCCCCTCCCACTGAATTGAGGCATCCTAATTGCTCTGTTCTCTCTCCACTCTTGACAGATCCATGATTTGTTTGTGAGCTTTGATGACACCCCTCTGGGGGCTGCCTCCCTGGCCCAGGTCCACAAGGCAGTGCTGCATGATGGGCGGACAGTGGCTGTGAAGGTCCAGCACCCAAAGGTGCAGGCACAGAGCTCGAAGGACATTCTCCTGATGGAGGTGAGGAGCTTCCCCTTGCACCTTCCGTCACCCTCATTCTGTGTTTCCTTGGGATCCAGGCAGCCTCAGTGACACTGGTTCAAAGCTGGTAGGTGGATATGGCCCTTTGAGCTGCAGGGTGGCAGAGGGGAGCTCGAGACCACAACAAAGGAGGTATCATGACAACGCTGTGACCATGGGACCCCTGGCTGGGTTGGTCAGTTCTTCTTGTTTTATTTTTCTGGGACCTGTTCGCGGATGGTCTCAGAACAACTGAACAGCGACTGGACCCAAGGTGACTTCAGGAGGATGTTGTTGAAATGAGATGAACCCAAGGTGATTTCCTTGTGGGTAGAAACAGTGACATCTTAATTTGTTAAATGATAGCAAAAGAGAGCATGTGGTCAATCACAGGATATAAAAATGACAGGCAGATCACACACAAATATTTACTCAGATTGCGTGTTTGCCTAGCTGATGTATTTTGAACGAACAAACTTGCATGCCTAACAATGGCCCTGGGGACATCTCTAGTGGAGACGGTGGCTCTGGACTCTTCTCGCTTCACGCGCAGAGCCAGGGAGGGCCAGTGAACAGGGCCCTGCTTGGATGGCGCTAGGGCGCGCCCTGGGAGGTCGGCAGTCCATTTCACTTGCCAGCACGTCCCTCTTCTTCCTTTTCTCCGTCCCTGAGCTCCCTTTCTTCACTCTGGACTCTTAGTTCATTCAACGCGTGTTGACTGAACTTAACACACACGCTCAGAGTCTCCTCTGCATCCAGTGAGCGAGCAACGTCTTCATCCTTGGGGAGCCCCTTGTTTAGTGGAGGAGCAGTTCTCCCCACAGTGTGGGGACTTGAGCTCTGTCTGAGGGATGGGGGCACCAAGGGGACTTCACGGAGGAGCCCATGAGACAGCCTGGCAGGGGAGGGACAGCCCAGCCTGTGCGGAGGCCCAGGTCTCAGAGGAGAAGGCTGTGCTTAGAGAACGTCCACTGGTCCAGACGGTGTGAGCTGGGAGTGGCTGCAGATGAGGCTCAGGGAAAGCAGGCAGGAGGGAGCCCAGAGGGCCTTGTAGCCCAGGCTCGGGTGCAGAACCTGTACGTAGTAAATGTGGTTCTCCTGTGGAACTGAGCTGGTCTGATTTTCGCTTGTAGTCAGTGGGGAACCATTTACGAATTTTAATCAGGGGAATGTCATGATCAGATGTGCATGAGAAATCAAAATCTGTTGGCAGTCTGGAGGATGTATCGGGAGGAAGGAAGACGATAGCTGGGGAGGCTAATTGAGGGGCGGCCGCAGTGGCCTGGGAGGGAAACGATGATGTGAACCACAGCAGGGTAATGGGGCGGAGGAGAGGGACGGGCTCTACGGTGGAGTTATCAGGCCTTCGACCAGGTTTACATGGGATGGGGGCAAACACTGCTATGCACAGGGACGGGGAGGCTAAAACAAGTCAGAGGTTTCTGGCTTAAATGGTTAAGTTTGGATGCTTTTAGCCATGTGTGTCAGTCAGAGTGCCGCTGGGGAAAAAAGAAACTGCTCTAGGTATTTCAGAGGGAATTTGAAACACAAAATGGGGCTTCCTGGGAATGGAATTGCCAAGAAACCAAATGGGATGGTGAGACAATTACCAACAGTAGGAAGCTACCCTCACGGTGGAGGACAAAGAGAACAGGTGGTTGTCTGGCGCCCAGGAGCTGGGAGCACCTGTGGAAGCTGGGGCCTCCTGTGGAAGCTGGGACCGTGGTGAGCTAGCCCAGTGGAGGTGGGTCACAGATGTAGGGCCTGTCACCTGGAAATCAGAGCCACAGATTTAAAAAAACATTAGTTTCAGGTGTACAAAACAACATAGTGATTACACATTTATATTCCTCACAAAGTGATAACCCCAATAAATCTATTACCCATTACAATATTATTGACTATGTTCCCTATGCTGTACTATATATCCCTGTGACTTTTTAAAAATTTATAGTTGACATTCAGTATTATTTTCTATTAGTTTCAGGTGTACAGCATAGTGGTATACAGCAATTTATGAAGTGATTCCCCCCGATAAGTCTAGTGCCTTTCTGACACTATACATAGTTTTTACAATATTATTGACTATATTTCCTGTACTGTACTTTACATCCCCATGACTCTTAAGAAGTGCAAATTGGTAGTTACAAAAGAGCCACAGGTCTTGTTTGAAGGAGCAGGCTTTCATCTTCTGTTCCCCAGTATTCCACCAGTGTGACCCATTCATTGGTCAAACCTAGCTGGAAGCCAGTTGGCAAGGGAGCTTGGGAAATGTAGTCTCTTATAAGAGTCATGGGGTTGGGATGGATTTCACTTTCAGAGCAAGGGGAAATGGGTGATGGATCAATCAAGTGGGGGAAGAGATTGCTGTTAGGGGTTTTGAATCAGGATGGCTTTGTTGGGTTATAGTTTAGGCTGCTGATATAGACTCGGGATTTATCAGCAAGGAGATTCACTAGAGCTGAATCTGGGTGAGTAGTTGAGATCACTTAGAAAAGGTATGTAGAGTGAATAAAAAGGAGAGGACAAGGACAGAACTCTGAGGACCATCATAATTTGGAGCATGCACCCAGGAGGGTAAGTTCCTGAGGGAACTAAGAAGACGTGGTCAGAGGGGTGGGAGGAGAAACAGGACTGAGCAGTGCAGCAGCCAATGGAAACAATTTCAGGAGGAGAGCTCTGTCTCAGTTATCTAGAGCCGCATCATGAACCACCTCCAAACGTAGTGGCTGAAAACAGCAGTCATGTGTTTTGCTTACGAATCTGTAATGCAGGCAGGGCTTGGAGAGACACTCATCTCTGTGTTATGTGGTGCCAGCTGGGTTACTCGACTGGACCTGGAGGAGCCGCTTCAGGGTGGCTCACTCACATGGCTGACAAGTTGGCACTGGGTGTTGGCTGGGAGCTCACCTGGGGCTTTGGGGTCAGGGCCTCAGATCCTCTCTGTATAAGGCCTCTCCATGGCTTCTTCACAGCATGGTGGCCAGATTCAAAGATCGAATGTCCCAAGGGAACAAGGCTGAAAGTACATCCCAGCTTTCTGACCTCGCCTTGGCCACCAAGTAGATTATTGCTTCCTTACACTCTTGGTAAGAGCAAGAGTCACAAAGGCCCGCTTAGTTTAAGGGATGGGAAATAGACTCTACTTCTTGATGGTGGTGTGGCAAGGTTCGAGAAAAGCATTAGAATGGGAGGTATCGTTACAGCCATTTTGGAAAATATAGTCTGCCAGAATGACTCAATGTTGTCAAGTGGGAGATAAAATTAGTAAAGCTCTGAAAAGGGTGTTTTGGGTTTGGCGGGTGACTTAGAGTTCTTTGGAAGAGCGAGGAGAGTGGGATGAGTGGGGTGAAAGAGGGTTGAGGCTGCAGGCAGTGGAGACAGTTAATGTGGAAGACTCAAGTTTAGCCATGGACGGTGGCGGGTGTGAGAGAAGAGATTTGAGCAGAGCACAGGAGTAGAGGCTGGGGGACTCGAGCCTGTTGTAGCTGGTGGGGAAAGAGGCAGCGGAGTGGGGGGATCGGAGATTGAGGAGGGGAAGTGGCTGCTAGATCTGGCCCAGGAGGAGACTCGAGGGATTGGGCTCCAAGGAGGCAAGTGGGAACGTTAGCCTTGGCCAGCTTTTGTTTGGGGACTAGAGGAAGGTGGTTAGGCTGGGCATGGATGAGCGTGTAGGGCAGAGGGAGAAGGCGGGTTGTGGGGGAAGTGGGCAGCTGAGTTGCACCATCCTGATGGCCTCTATTTTTTCTCTGAAGTGGGAGGCAAGACCATCTGCTGAGAATGAGGGGGTAGGAGGTGGCATTGGAGGCTCGAGTGGGGGTGAAGGTTTGAAATAGCTGCTGTGTGCCGTGGAAAGGGGGGCAGGGTTGCTGAGTGGCCCTGGGCACCTACCTGGAAACCTGAGTTTTCTGGAGCACGTGCCAGTGGCTATGGGATGGCCATCACTTGGAGTAGACTGGGAGTCTCGGAGGATCCCTGGGTGTCCTGAGTGCCAGCAGCCACTCCTGCGTCAGGTGGGCACCTGCCTGTGGCCAGCAGTGTTGTCAGGACCCACTTGGGTTGGGAGGACAGCTGACATCCTTTTCTCTGCTCAGAACCTTGCTGGTTCCCTGAGTAATGCTGGCCGTAAGGTCAATAGCAATAATAGCAGTAATAAAGATTTGGCATCTTGTGGAGATAACCATCAGATGCTTTTCTTAGGAAGTATGGTGTAGCGGCTGTGTGCAGAGTACAAAGTGGCTCCCTTGCAGTGGCTGAGGCAGCACTGGGGCTGGGATCGCTAGGTGGACCAGAGACCTGTACTCACAGCCTTCAGGACAGAAGCTGGAAATGAGGCCCAAGGTCACCACCTCCATGGACCGTCAGCATTAACAACAGCACCCGATGGCACTGCCTTCTCCCTGGGCTTGGTCTCTGGTGGAAAATAGCCTACGTGGGTCACCCTTCTCTCCTATAAAGCTAAGAAGAGCTCAACTGGAAAGCCCATTTTATTTTATATTTCAAGTGATTTTTGTTGGTTGGTTTATTTGTTTTGAGTCTAGACCTAAAATGGTGCATTGGTTTTAGGAATGATGACCCCAGAAAGGTGCTCAGCCATGCTTGGCAGGAGAAGAATGATTTCTAGGGGGTCTTAGGGCTGCCTTAGCCCCCAGGAACTTGGAGACAGAGGGGAGGCAAGGCAGCTTCTCTGCCTTCTGGTGCTTCCTCTCGTGACAGCTCCAGGCACTGTGTGCCCTCACGCTTCTCTCCCACTGCCCGCTACTGTCCCTCCCTCTTCTCTAGCCCTGTGATTGGTCACAGCATGGTCTTGGGAGAAAGACAATCTGATGGGGGAATGCTTACCCAGAGAGTGATGAATAGGCTTAACCTCTGGATTTTTGCAGTTTAAGAGGTGAGCTTGTGAATCCAAACACATATATGTTGTGAGGATAGGTCTGCAGGAGTAAAAGTTTTGAGAGTGAGGAAGTGGGGACTGCTGGTTGCATCCGTTAGGATGCTGT